GCTGACAATCTGCAGCACCTAAGACTTTGTTTCTGCTGGCACAGCACTTGCTTGATCAATGTAATTCTCATCAATCAGTTAAAGTGCTTTCCAAAGGGGGGGGAGGGATTTTAGCACTCTGCAAACCTCCCCAAAACATCCAGTTTTTCATGAAAATGGGCCTGTTTTTTTTTAAAGGCATGAATAGCCTTGGGGGGGAGGGCTTTCAGAGTGCTCCTGGAGGGATGGGGAGCCAAAAATGAGCAAAAAATAGCCCGTTTTTCGCAAAAGCGGGCCCATTTTTTTGTCAAAACAAATTGCATGCATAGCCCTCCTCAGCCCCCAGGAGCTCTCTGAAAGCCTCCATAAGGCTATGCACAGCCATTTGGGTGAAGGGGCAGGGCTTCAGAAGGCAAACAATACGGTATTCGATGTATAAAACACACCAGATTTTCACCTTCTTTTTTGAGGAAAAAAGGTGCATCTTATTTATACTCCCAAAATATGGTAATTACTAATCATACAAATACATAACCAATTCCTACCTATCACACATTCTTAATACCATATTTTCCATTTCTTAACTTGTCTGTGTTTTTCTGTCCTTTCCCCCTCATTTCTAACCATCGGTACCATTTGTCCTAGATTTCATGATATTCCGTCTCACCCTTGTCTTTGAGCTCTATGCCAGTATCTTATTTATTATTTCTTGTTCCGAGGGAGTCTCCTTATTTTTCCATTTCTAGGCGAAAACCAGTCTTGCCGCCGTTAAAACAGCGAGATATGAAAGACCCCACCATTCCTTATGGCACTTAATCTCTTTCTATTCATTCCACTATGATAGTCTTACCATCTTAATTTTAAAAAGTACTTTTTTGCATCTGAAAAATGTCACTTAATTCCAATAGAATCCTTGATACAGAAAAGTTTTAAATTATAACTTGGTACTAGGACCTTGAGAACGATTTTAAAATCCTTGTGGGCAACCTATTCTTGCTTTCAATGCAGGTTTCTTCCTATGCTGGCTATTTGAAGTATGAATTGCATTCAGACATTCAAAGGGGTGATGTGTTCATACCGATGGAATCCCGGGCTGATGTTATCCTCAAGGTAGATCTCCCATTCCTCTTGGGTCTTTGATCTAAACGGCATCAGGTCCAACTGTTTTTTCTTTAATACAGATGTTTTTGGTCCTTTCCTAGGGAAACCAAATGAGTATTATGTTTGTTGAAGAGTCGTATCCCGCTCCTGGAGAGGTTTATAAAGGAGAGCTTCAACTGTTGGAGGTAAGTTGAGATTGATAACCCCATGGAGAAGGTGAAAAAACTTCAACCCATGCAACAGAAGTTGCCTTCGGAAGTTGTGGGGGCTTCGTCATTTGAGACTTTCAAGAAGAGACTGGGCTGTCATTTGCCAGAAATAGTGTAGGGTCTCCTGCTTGGGGGGGGGGGGGTTGGACTAGATGATTTTTAAGGTCCCTCCCAACTCTGTTAATCTGTTAAGATCAGGGGGTGTTTCTGTTGATTTTAGAAACTTACTTTGGATCAGATCCTATCTGTTCAGGAACATTGCAGATTGAGGGCCTCAATCTCCATCCTTGTAGAGGTGGTCAAAAAGATACCACTGTTACTGAAGATAGTGAAATTTAACGTACATAAGAAATTAATAGCGTATTTTCTGGCGTATAAAATGACTTTTTAACCCCAAAAGATTATTTCAAAAATTGGAGGTGGTCTTATACGCCAGATATACCAAAAAACCAAAACAAAAGCAAAAGCAATGTCGCCAAGTAAAAAGCCGTGCCGCCACCAGCAGAGACTCTGGCCTTTCAATCGATAACCTCGGTGCTCCTCGCATGGGCACGTGGATGGATGAGCGCTAGGATGGCTTAGTAAGGTCTGGCTGGAGGTCTGGAGGAGGAAGGCGCTGAGCTGAAACTACGAAAGCCTGGCAGTGCGGAGGCCTTCAGCTGGCTCGCGGGCGCCTGAAAGTAGGGGGTCGTCTTATACGCCCAGTCACCTTATATGGCAGAATATATGGTATATACCAGTGTATCATAGAAGTGAGTACACCCCCTCACATTTTGTAAATATGTAAGCATATATTTTCATGTGACAACACTGAAGAAATGACACTTGGCTACAATGTAAAGTAGTCAATATACAGCTTGTGTAACAATCTAAATGTACCGTCCCCTCAAAATAATGCAACACACCGCCATTAATGTCTAAACTGCTGGCAACAAAAGTACGTACTAGGATCATATGTGAGGGGGTGTACAGTTCAGGGTTTTGAACATTCAGTTCTGGAACCAAGTTACTGTTTCAGCACGACCTTTATGCTTAGCAATCAATTCACATTAAAGGCTGTACAAACCTTTAATGGCGGAGGCTGTAGACTTAAACATAAAATACACAATCAGCAGTTCAAATTTGAAGATCCGGGTTTTTTGCAGATTCTGACATGTTACCTTAAGGAATGGCTTCAGTTGCAACCATATTAGATTCATCTATTTATCTTTCTTCTGTCTGTCCGTCCGTCCATCCATCCATCCATCCATCCATCCATCCATCCATCCATCCATCCATCCATCCATCCATCCTCTCTCTCCCTCTATCTATCGCTCCATCTATATCTTTCTATATCGCTCTGATCTCTGTATCTCTGTCTATCTCCATATCCATCTCTCTCTCTCTCTCTCTCTCTCTCTCTCTCTCTCTCTCTCTCTCTCCCCTCTCTCCTTCTCTCCCTCCCCCTCCCTCTGTCCCTCTGTCCCTCGGTCCTTCCTTCTCTCTCTCTTTCTCTCTCCCTCCCTTCCTCCTCTCTCAACCATGGTGGTCCAATGGTTAGAATGCAGGCTACTTTTGCTGAATGTCGTCTGCCAGCAGTTCGATTCTCACTGGCTCAAAGTGGAGTTAGCCTTCTATCCTTCCGAGGTCTGCAAAATGAGGAGCCAGATTGTTGGGGGCACTAGGCCAATTCTGTAAAACTGCTTAGAGAGAAATGTAGAACCCTGTGAAATGGTATATAAGTCTAAGTGCTATTGCTATTGCTATCTCCCTCTCTCTCTCCATCCATCAAAAACAGATTTCCTGTTAATGGGAAAATTAAGATCCAATGCAGCCCTAATCCGGCTTATTGATGTAAGAAAACCACATTTCTACTAATGTCATACTGCAACTCAATCTTCTTTCCTAGGGTAATTTTAGACACACTGAAACACACAATCCAGTCTCCAGGGAAGAGCTGATGATGGTTCTGGCTAATTTGGAGCAGCTGCAAATCCGAGCTCTCTTTTCCCCAATTTCGTCCTCTGTGTCCCTGCATCGGGTGATCTTGGAGAAAACCTCAGAGACCGGTGGAAGCATCCCAGCCAATAGTGTGGAATTGTGCCTGTGCCCAGCCAATTATAGGGGAGATTCTTGCCAGGTAAGAAAACTTTTTTCCTCTCAAATTCATGTAGAGCAGTGTTTCTTAACCTCAAACAACTTTAAGATGTGTGGACCTCAACTCCCAGAATTCCTCAGCCAGCACAGCTGGCTGAGGAATTCTGGGAATTGAGGTCCATACATCTTAAAAGTTGCTGAGGGAAATACTGATGCTTAGTAATCAGAGTCCTCAGTTCATTATATAAAGTCAGTTATATAAGTCATTTAGAATTCATAATATGCTGCTGTAAGCTATTTTGGAATGGAAATTTTTGATTCCCATGTTCTATGAAAAATCCAGCGTTGGTGAAGCTGTAGTTGACAGATGTTGCTGAGATAGATAAATTAACTTCTTTTATCAGAAACTATCTATATTTATTGGTGACTAGAACTCAGGAGAGGGTTTTCTTTGAATAATAATGAAAAAATAAACTTGTGATTTCTGATAGATTATAGAAAAAAGAGCATTATGATGTAACTTTAGAGAGAGAGAGGTTAAGATCTATTTGTACTTACAAGTCCCGTGAAAAATATCAGAAGCTGCTTCTATCTTTTTTTCTTTTCTACTTTTCTTTTCTTCTTCAAGTTTTTTTGTCTTCCACTTTTTGTATCCTCTTTGGTTTTTTTTATTTTTCTTCTTCCTTTATATTCACTAGTATTAGTTTAAAAAAACTGTTTTAGTAATAGATATATGACAGCAGTAGCAATTCTTGTTCCATTTACACACACGCACACAAAATAATACTCTACATCTATATCTATATCTAATATATCTATATACGTACTATATACTGTGTTTCCCCGAAAATAAGACAGGGTCTTATTTTCTTTTGACCCCTGAAATAACCACTTAGCCTTATTTTCAGGGAGATCTTATCATTTTTGAGGTGCAGGATGCAGCGAGCATGGTCACCTCAGGGCTGCTGCTATGTTGCAATATTTTGGGGAGGGCTTATTTTAGCGCATGCCCTCAAAAGCCCGATTGGGCTTATTATCCGGGAGGGCTTATTTTCAGAGAAACAGGTATCTATAACAAATCTGTCTGTCTTATCTGTCTATCTGTCTGTCTATTGCCCATCTACAGTATATCCCAACTATCCATCCTTCTATCATCTGAGATAATTCTGAATATCTCTATTCATACCTGTCAATCTACCTGACCTATCTTTGTCTCTCTCAAACACTCACTCACACACACACACACACACACACACACACACACACACACACACCTATTCTAGCACTGATGATGTTACCTTGTTTTTGTAATGAAATGTCTGCAAGAAAACAAGCAAGCTCAGAGAGCACCAAGCACCACACATATCTATTTATTGCCTGCCTGCCTTTCTTTCTTTTTTTCTTTCTTTCTTTCTTTCTTTCTTTCTTTCTTTCTTTCTTTCTTTCTTTCTTTCTTTCTTTCCTTCTTCCTTCCTCCTCCCTCCCTCCTTTTTTTCTTTCTTTCTTTCTTTCTTTCTTTCTTTCTTTCTTTCTTTCTTTCTTTCTTTCTTTCTTTCCTTCCTTCCTTCCTTCCTTTCTTTCTTTTTGTCGTCGTCATCATTATCCTCTCCAAACTGAAAAACTTCAGGAGGAACTTTCCAATAAGTTGAGGAATGTTAAGGGCTCCCATCTCCTTTCAGGCATTCTGTCTCAAATGCCTTACACCGATGATGGTCTGATGCATATTATCTCCATTGCAATTAGGAATGCGCTCCAGGCTATTACAGAGACATCAAGGGTCTGTTTCTTGGGAAATGCATTCCATGTGACTGCAATGGCCATTCGGATCAATGCCTCCCGGGATCTGGAACATGCCTTGTAAGTAAAGAAAATGATTGTTCAACTCCGTTTACCTCAAAGGTGCTTTCTCCAATAAATGCTAATGATTTATTTACTTCTGCAGATATAGCGGAGGCAGAGATAATAGTAGGGCTGGTAGACTGAATCCTAGAGCAAGCAGAAATTTTCCAGAACTCTTGCTTTGTTTTTTTATTTATTAAATTTATACGCTACCCATCTCCCTGATAAGGTGACACTTGTCCCTTTTCCACATTATTTTAAGTTATTTAGATGAGTTTTTCCTGGGAATTTATTTATTTTTTTACTTCCCAGTTTGTTTCCAGCTGTGGCATTCCTTGGAGTTCCTCATCCAAATTCTAATCAACACTGGTCCTACTTTGAGTTCAATTAAGGTCAACTACCACCTGTTGGAGCTTCCTGTAATTATTATTTTTTCTTTTAATAGCCATCTGGTGCTCATGGCATCAGATGGAACTTTCTCTGTCTCAAGTAGTCAGGATCCTTTGAGGGGAAATATTTTGAGGTGTTGGCCAAGTGTTACATGCAGTAAATCTATCGTACACTCCTATTGTAAACAAAATTATAGGAAATGCACTGAAGATTAGAAGAATACCGACTCAAAGAACAAGACTAAGGAAACAAGATTTAAACTCTGATAACACATCACAATAATAAACACATTTAGACACGGACCTAACTCAAATTGTTTTGGAACTAGACCAGAGAGTGAAAATTAGTCTATGTTATCGGTGCTTCTCCCTAATCGCTTAATTTTTTAGCATCCTGTCTGAGGAACCAAGTATTTCTCTGATTATTCTATAAAGCATAATTTCCCATTTCGGCCACCGCCCCCCTCCCCAAAAGATAAAAGACAAAATCATGGGTCTGTTGCCAGGTAAGGAGTCTTACCTTATTTCTGAAGATGCAGCCAGATTTATTCTAAAAGGATGTGAAGGCAAAGCATGAATAGTTCGAATATGTGAAATTAGCGTCATTAATTTTTTTCCTCTGTAGAATTGCCAACACAACACAGAAGGTGATCATTGCGAAAGGTGTAAGGATGGTTTTGTGGGGAACTCTTCCCTTGAGGAACACGTGCAATGCATAGGATGCCCCTGCCCTCTTTCAGTTCCCTCTAACAAGTGAGTATCTTCCATGCATCTAGTCCTCTTGATTCTTTGGCAACAACATGTGTTAGCTTCTTATTTGCACATGGAAAAACATGCAGGTAGTCCTCAACTTAAAATAGGAGCTGTGGTGGTGCTTAGAATGCAGTACAGGTAGCTCTTAACTTACGGTCCATTTAGTGACCATTCAAAGTTACAACGACACCAAAAAAAAGTGACATGACCATTTTTCAGAGTTACGTGACCTTTTTGAGCATGTGATCAAAATTCAGATGCTTGGCAACTGACTTGTATTTATGACTGTTGCAACGTCCCAGGGTTGTGTGATCACTTTTTGAAACCACCTGACAAGCAAAGTCAAGGGGGAAGCCAGATTCACTTAACAACTGGATTAGAAACTTTTCAAACGCAGTGATTCGCTTAACAGCTGTGGCAAGAAAGGTCACAGAATGGGACAAAACTCACTTTGCAACTGTCTCGCTTAGCAATGGAAATTTTGGGCTCAATTGTCGTAAGTTGAGAACTACCTGTATTTATTCCAGTTTGCTAATTCCGTAAGAATCATAGGGACTCTGATGTAATTATGACGTAGCTATCAATGATCCGACTAGCGTACTCAAAAGAAGTAGACACTCTCGGGATCTTTGAATTCCCCAAAGTATCACTTTATTGGATACACCATCTTGGAACTGCAGAAGCAAAAACCAGTTCTGGTTTTCCGGCACAAAAGTTTACTTAGTTAAACAATAGATTCCCTTTCCACCTACACCTGGGTGTTCACATTATCCAATTGTAAGACTTCCTTTTGTTATGGGAACAGTCCATGTCTCCATCTAACACCTGTAGCAGTGACCTTGGCTCTCATGGTTCGTAGATAAAAGCTTAGCATTCCATTCTCCCCCCTCCCTCCTGCTTGAATGACAAGATGAAAGCCATAGAAGCAGCTCAGAAGAAGTAAAGCATTTCAATCTTGACAGTAGCTTTATTTGTTGCAAACTTTAATAGCTCTTTCCTCTTCCTTTCCCCCATTTTTGTCTTAGCTTTGCCACGGGATGCATCTACAAAGGCTCCACCACGCAGTGTCTTTGCAAGCCTGGTTATGCCGGATTTTCGTGTGAACGGTACAGTATATAACTTGAATTTCAGCTGTTCCGACTTGGTTTGCTTAAGATCCAATCCGTGTATGTTGGCTGCTCAGTTCTCCACTGGTGGAATCAGGCCACCAGCAATGGGACTTCACTCCGCAGCCCTGTAAGACCTCCTTCTCTCCTCCAAAGATGTGCTCCAGGTTACTATGGAAATCCTCTCGTGATTGGCAGCTCCTGCCAGCCCTGTGACTGCAGCGGGAATGCTGACCCGAACATGCTCTTCAGCGACTGTAACACGTTGACAGGGGCCTGCACCGGGTGCATGTACAACACTGCAGGGCCCCGATGCGAAATGTGTGCGGCTGGATTTTACGGTGATGCAGTCGTAGCAAAGAACTGCACTGGTAGGTTTACAACCAGTCTCTTTCCTGGTTGCATTCACACACAATGATTTGTTTAAAAAAATTGAAATGCTAGTCTCAAAGGTGATGTCTAACAATCTTTATATATATCTTACATTTACGGTATTTTCTGAGTATAAGATATACTTTTTCCTCCCTAAAAGAGGGTGAAAATTTGGGTGCATCTTATACACCAAATGTAGCCCTGCCCACCTGCCGGTTTCCACCCTTTGGTCTTTGCCTCCTTGCAGCAAACAGCTTGTTTCAGCTTCAGCACAGCCTGATTAGCACAAGCAGCTGATTGTTGGTTGGATTGGCCTCCCAACCATCAGCTGTTTCAGGATGCAGGGATTGCCTATTGCCACTTCCGTGCTCCCCATTTTCGGTCTCCGCATCCCATTTTTGGCCTCCGTGCACCCCATTTTCTGCTTATTCTGATCCCCGCTGCCCGGAATGGGCAGAAAATGGGGCACAGAAGCTGAAAAGGGGCATGTGGAGGCCAAAAATGGGATGAGGAGGGTGAAAATGGGGCACACAGAGGCGGCAATAGGCAATGGCAATCCCTGCAGCCTGAAACAGCTGATCGTAGGGAGGCCTGACAATCTGCTGCTTGTACTAATCAGGCTGTGCTGAAACTGAAACAGGCTGTTTGCTGCAAGGAGGCAAATTGCTGGGAGACAGAGATAGGTTTTTTTCCCCTTGTTTTCCTCCCCAGAAGCTAAGTGCTAGGTCTTATACTTCAGAGTGTCTGATGCTCTGAAAAATATGGTATATCCAAATGTTTTTACCCTTTTTATTCAAGGTAGTTGCCAGAGCTACATGAAAGGACAAAGAATAAAAATTCTTTCAGTTTCCCCAGTCTAAACTTGATGAAATATATTTTTTTCTCAATAGAAAATACATATAGTCCTCAACTTACAACCCATTCATTTAGTGACTATCTGAAGTTATAACGTCACTGAAAAAAGTGACGTATGACCATTTTTCATTGCCTCATCCCCGTGGTCATACAATCAAAATCCGGGCACTTGGCAACTGGCAGGTATTTATGACGGTTGCACTGTTGTGGGATCGTGGGATCACCATTTGTGACCTTCCCAGCTAGCTTCCAACAAGCAAATCAGTGAAGGAAGCCAGATTTGTTTAATGACCACATGATTCGCTTAAGAAGTGCAGCATTTCACTTAACAACAGTGGCAAAAAAATGTCATAAATGCGGCAAAACTCACTTAACAGCTAAATTTGGACTCAGTTGTGGTCATAAGTCAAGGATTAACCTGTAATGCTGAAGCTAAGGTGTAAATACATTGGTCAAATTTTATGCATTTTATTAGAAATAAAAATAGCACTTATATACCGCTTAGCCTGGCTTTTACAGCCCTCTCTAAGAGGTTTACAGAGTCAGCCTCTTGCCCCCAACAATCTGGGTCCTCATTTTATCGACCTCGGAAAGATGGAAGGCTGAGTCAACCTTGAGCTGGTGAGAATCGGAATAGAAGTCATGGAATCTTTTAAAAGTCTTTCTCTCCTTGTAGAGTGCAGCTGTCTGCCGTGTGGGACGGACTGGTGTGATCCTAAAACTGGCCAGTGTCAGTGTAAGCCTGGAGTGACAGGTCAGCGCTGTGATCGCTGTCAGGTAAGATAGGCCGATGACTCCCTGATTCTCTGAGGTGTATCCCACAGGCATTGTGGTTTGTTGTGGTTTTGTCACTGTTCTGTTAACAGGTACACACTGTTGATTTCAACTTCTGTACTTGCAAATAACAAACATCAAATATCCCAGGCGTCCCCATGTAACTGGGTTTTTTCTCTCTTGCCCAACCAAACCAGAATGATTAGCATTGAGTGGGCATGGAATGGTAGAACATTTTCAACTTTGATTTAAATAACTATAGGGGAAATGCAACGTCAATCAACTGAATAGAAAAAAAACAAACCCTATCCAATGGTTGAATCAAAACGAGCATTTTATTGAATAAGATAACAGAGGTGTTGGGCTCTAACTCTATTCCTTCAGTTTGTCCTATAATTTGCAGTGAGCAAATTATGCCAAAGTTGGGACCAGGGTGTCCCAACTTTGGCAACTTTAAGACCTTGACTTCAACTCCTAGAACTCCCCAGCCAGCGTGATTCACCGGGGAATTCTGGGAACTGAAGTCTGCAGACCTTGAAGTTGCTAAGGTTGGACACCCCTGATCTAGAACTCAATGTCCCGAATGGAGATGGTCAAGATATCCTGTGTTAATAGGTGCCATCTTTCCTTCCTTCATCCCATTTGCCTGGAGAGATTCTTCAGAATGATTTACCACCCTTCTTCGAGTGCAGAGCAGCTTCTATAAGCCACTGTTACCATCATCCTCTTTTAATGACCCCATAATCCCTTGCGGGGTAGAGTCTGAATACAACTGAATGGAACTGAGTGTTTACTGGCCGGATGCCCTTCCTGTCAATGCGGAGTTTATTTCAGCGGATATATTCTCATTGTGCTCAGAGAGAGGAATATCTGCCTCTACTTAGAATCAAACTCACAGCCTAGAGGTGGAGCAAGAGCCACCGCACCAATCCTGTAAACCAGTGTTTCTCAACCTTGGCAACTTGAAGATGTCCGGACTTCAACTCCCAGAATTCCCCAGCCAGCATTCGCTGGCTGGGGAATTCTGGG